CAGTTTAATATCTTCATGCTGGCTCAAACACAAATTAGCTGCTACTGTGGAAACCTAGAATATGCAAATACTCCACCCTTCCAATGAGGTGAAAGCCTAAAGGAAACATAATCAATATAGCAACCTGACGCTGAAGCTTCTATAGTCTGTAGTAAAAAAAACCAAAAAGAATTGGGGGAATGGTTTCAAGAGATGGTTGGGACAAGATATATGGAAGAAAAATACAATATATGTCTACTTATCAAGATACCACTGGATTCTATGATACCAATGTTTTGCAATTTCTGCTGGACTCACCCCTACTCTTTGTCTCCTTCTCCCCCCTACAGGTGGAACAGGAGAGAAGGACCGGGCACCCATCAGCCATGAATCCTTCCTGCTCATGGCAAACTCCCAGACAGACATGGATGACTGGGTCAAGGCCATAAGGCGGGTCATCTGGGCGCCGTTTGGAGGAGGTAACGGCAGACTTTCAAACAGAAACACAGAAAACATTTTGTCACTTTTAAAAACACAGGCAGATTTTCCCCCTTGAACACGTTTGACCTTATAGTGTGCGATGATTAAAATTCAAGTCTTTCTAATGCAAACTTTGGGCTGTACTAAGTAACAACATCTTGTTACTTGTTCTGTCCATCACTATGGTTGAAAACACAGCAAGCAGCAGTTCTAACGATGTTTTATTCAGATTTCTCTGCAAATAATGATTAAAAGGACTGAGGCCATTCATCCCAAACAGGAAGTCCTCATTTCCTTTCTACCCTGTAGGCTCCAGAGATCTCGCAACAGTTCTTGAAACTAAATATTGCTGCTGACATTGGAAAAGACCACACTTCAGCTCTCTGGTGTGTCTATATCATAATGTCTGAGTTACAAACTTGAGCCCAGTCATGAAAAGTATCACTGCTGTGTCTCATTTCTTTAGCCTGCAGTTAATTCTCACCCTGGTGTCTCTATTCCTGGTGCACACCTACTCTACCTGACTGGGGAAATGTGATCAGATTGGCATTCAAAAATAAGAGGACATGGTGTTTCTATAAGGTTTCTTACTGTGCTGTGTAATAAATTACAAGGATCAGCAGAGCATACATGTACTGGATGCCATTTAGTTTCTTTTACTCCTAAGCGATCTGTTTTTCCTGTCCTTGCAGCAGTGAGCCTGTGGTTAATTCTCACCCTGTCTGCTCTGGTCTGCCCGTCTAACTAGTGTACTTGACAGGAGGCCAGAAATATAAGCAGGCCTGTCTGGGTGTGAACTGGGACATAAGGAGCAGCTGAACAGCCTGGTGTTGGGTTACAAAGGACTGTTATATTAATAGGGGGATGAATGTACAACAGCAATGATACAGTATATGACATCACTGCTCTCACTTTAAACTCATTTTTAATCAGCCAGGTTTGAGATCTGCTGTCAGAGTGGGAACGAGTGTACCAATTACTAGAGCTACTAACTAACGATGATTGGTAGTTCACCGTTAGTTTTGATCAATGATTGGGCCAAATTGCTTATTATAGCTGACAATTACATAAAAGGCAGTAAATTCAACTTTTCTTGTGTGATCAACTCATCAATTTAATAGAGAAATCGAACCTCAAGGTGACAGCTGAACCCTTAATAGACAGAGATGAAATGCCAAGTCCACGTGTGTAATACTTACTTAATATGTTTTGACCGTTATACTGCTGAACCCAACAATTGTCATCTAACTGTAGTGGTACTCAAAAACATAGAAGGTTGCTTGTCAATGCTTACTGCTGTTCCTATTTATTTATTTATTTATTTCCTAAATAAAAGACTCTTCTGACTATTTGGATGAAAAAATATTCTGTTTTCTGCAAGATAAAAAAAGATGTTTAACCCGTTTCCCAAGTTGCAACTATTTCCTGATTCAAACAACGATGGCATGTTTGTATGATGTGGACCAAAGTTGAAATTGTTATATTTTTCTATACTTTTATATTTTATCAAACACATATTTCATACAGACATGGAAAAAAAATGGTTACAAATGACAACACTTGGTTAATACTTTAACTGTGTAAATACTGGATACTTTTCTAATTTTGAAACAAAATCTAAAAAAATAAAAATAAATAATGAACGAAGAAATAAAAAACAATAAAGAATAAACTGAAGTGAGCTTATTAGTATATCTCTCTGCTAATTTGGAGGGGGGGGGGACACGGCCGTGTGGTGCCCGTAAAGTCTAGCTACACCCCTGTTCGCAGATTCATACAGGTTAACGGTACAGTAATGTGTTGTCCGCTCCTGTACCTCATGCTGTCATGTGTCCCGCCTCCCTCTCAGATTCACAGGGTGGGGGGTCTGTCTCTCGGTTCTCGGTCCAGAATAGATCTGTCGCCAACTTACAGAGCCGTCGTTAACCGCAGCACCGCGGTCACAGCACACGGACCCCTGTCAGCTGCCGTGTGTCTGAACCTCCGGCAGTTTGTCCAACGTTATACTCCGAGTGTGTGAATGCAGGATTAATCTACAGCGGAGTCAAATGCCTGAACCGGAATGGACGAACCTGGTGAAATGCGGGTTTGGGATGTATGAGAAACGCTCCTGTTCAGAGATTTACTACGATTACTGCTGCAGCCTGTCAGCAGGTAACAGTCAACAGCCATTAACCAATTAACCTCCGTAAACCGTTACATCATTTTTCAATACTAAAATGACTTATTAATGAAAGGGTTTGCCTTTCAGATACTGTTCACATTTACCAGTTTCTACTTTACTGTTTTACACCAGCAGGCAGTTCTGATTCAGTCACAGGTTTTCATGTTGTGATAGTCTCCTCACCCACTGAGGGGTTAGAGACATACATAATGTAACTGCAAAGATGTTTGTGGACTACATCTAACAACAATAATAATAATAATAATAATAATAATAATAATAATATAATATAATCAACTTTATTTCTGTAGTGCCTCTCAACCAACCAGAGTTACAATGTGCTTTACAAAATACAATACCATACAACACAATCTGTGCAAAGATAGAATAAAAACACAAAAATGGTGATGCTGTTGATGTTGTGACTGGGGGAAAATGGCACAGTACAGTAGGTCTCACTCAAGATTCAAGTGAACTAAAAGTTAAATAAACTATTAAAATGTTACCTCTAATGGTGACACTTCTTACCGTTATTGTTTGCTGGTAAAGTAAAGCCATCATTTTATATTTGGTCAAATTGGCTCAAATAGACATGCTATATACATTATATATACATGTTATACATATACAAAATGTCTAAAATATCATTTTAAGATACCTCTATTTGTTCCAAACAGCCCAGTATAACCCAGTGTATGTATGAATGAATTATCTGATGGACCAATAAGAGTGCAGACAAGTAAGTAAGTCTCCTCCATCTGTCCCCAGGGATATTTGGTCAGCGTTTAGAGGACACAGTGCAGTATGAGAAGAAGTTTGGACCCCGGCTGGCCCCGCTGCTGGTGGAGCAGTGTGTGGACTTCATCAGAGAGAGGGGTTTGGACGAGGAGGGTCTTTTTCGGATGCCAGGACAGGCCAACCTTGTCAAAGAGCTGCAGGAGTCCTTCGACTGCGGCGACAAGCCTCTGTTTGACAGGTAGACAGAGGGGGGCGTTTGTAGAGTACGTCAGCTTTTTGAGAATGAAATGATAGAACATCCAGTTGACACCTTTTTTCCTCTACTCCCTTGCAGTAATACAGACGTCCACACGGTGGCATCCTTGCTAAAGCTGTACCTGCGAGAGCTGCCTGAACCAGTCATTCCCTTCTCCAAATATGAAGACTTTCTAAACTGTGCACAGCTTTTGGCCAAAGATGAAGAGGAGGTATGTGCAGTCTACCCTTTGTGTGTGTTCATATGCGTGTGTGTGTGTGTCTAACAGTTGTTCAATCTGTCTTTTATCAGGGGGTCCAGGAGCTTGGAAGACAAGTTAGCACTCTACCTCTTCCTAACTACAATCTCCTCAAGTACATATGCAAGTAAGTCCACTGTCATTTGTTTCCTCGTGGTTTTTTTATGTCATAATGTCATCAGTTTTTTTTTTGGTGTTTTTCCACTTTAGTTTTCAACTTTGTTATCTCTCCTCAGATTCCTTGATGAGGTCCAGTCCCACTGTAGTGAGAACAAGATGAGTGTCCAGAACCTCGCCACAGTATTTGGACCAAATATCCTTCGACCCAAGATGGAGGACCCAGTCACTATCATGGAAGGTATGGACGATGTGACGTAATGATTCATGGTAAAAGTCACTGCAAATGTTACTTCAACATCACATTATGCCTTGTAGTATTAGCAGTATACACATTAAACTTACTGTGCAGGATGAAAACTGAAATATGTCTACTGTACATTAATGATATCATGTCTGACTGTGATCCATAGGCACCTCTCTGGTCCAGCACCTGATGACAATCCTCATTAGGGAACACATCCGTTTGTACTCAGGGAGGGACCAGGAGGGACCTATCGTACCCCAAACAGAGCTCCCTGTCCAGGGGCATCAGCTCCAGCATCGCAGCCTGGGAGCCTGGATCTCAGAGGAAGACCTCCAGAGCTGCCCGGTCTCCAACCCTGACCAAGAACTGCACAGCAGCGCCTCATCTCTGGATGCTAAACTGTGTGCAGCTGTCACTCCCACCCAGACCCCAAACCTGAACCCTGGACCAAAACTGGGGTCTCCATCAGGGAAAGGAGAGACGTTGGTCAGCCCGAGTAAACAGGCCAAGACCATACCTTCCTGGAAATACTCTTTCAAAAGCTCCTCGGCGCCTCGTTCCCAGACGCAAGCCAAGCAAAGCAGCACCGGTAGTTCTGCGGCTGATGTCACTAGTGTATCTTCCTCCGGTGGGGGAGGAGGTGGAGGTGGAAGTGGAGGTGGAGGTAACTGGCTCATGAATGGTCTGTCCTCCTTGAGGGGACACCGGCGTACGTCATCAGGCGAGCGGTCTGCCCGTGATCGCGACTCCACCGGCTCCTCGCAGAGACTGTCTACCTACGACAACGTCACCTCTTCCTCCAGCATGGGGAGCGTTCCAAGTGTGGCCAGCACACCTTGGTCCACTTCCTCCTGCGAAATTTCCGTCCCTGACTCGGGAAGTGAGCCCTCAGCAAACCAGAACTGCGGAATAGGGGGTGAGAGTGGGGAGAAAGGGGAGTGGATGGAGAGCCAAAGGGAGATTGACAGAGGAAGGGATGGAGGGATGACGACAGACCCGAGCTCTGAGCAGGACAGTTGCGAGGCCATGGAGCTGTGCAGCAGCAGCGCAGCCTGCAGTGAGAATGGAAACATGGCCGTGGCAGCCGGGGTGCCGTCCATTATCATGTCCGAGGATGGAGATGGGATGAATCTAACACTGAGTGGTCTGGTGGAAGGACTGAAGGACGAGTTGAGGAAGCAGAAGACTTCATACGAGACCAGGATCCAAAAGTAAGTTTGTGTTCTGGGGGGTTTCTAAACCTTGTTATATGTGTGTAGATTTCTTTTGGTAAAATTAAACTTTTTGCATAGACTTCTGTACCAGCAATAGCTCTTTGTTTTGTTAATTTCTTTCTTTTTATAATTTGTGTGAACCAGCCTTTTGCATTTCTACGTGAAAAAACTTGCCAAGTGCAGCTTTAAGTTTTGTCCTAAAACCACCCCACCAAAACATTTTGTGATGTGGCCAAATGTTAAAGGTGAACGTCAATGACCTTTGCTTTCTGTCTGTGTTGTGCTGCCTCCACCCAGGCTGGAGGAGTCCAGTGCTGCTCTGTGTGCACAGATGGAGCGTCTGGAACAAGAGATGGAGCAGGAAAGGAAAAAGCAACGAATGCTGGAGATCAAACTACGAAACTCAGAGCGGGCACGGGAGGATGCGGAGAACCGCAACCGGCTCCTGGAGAAAGAAATGGAGGATTTCTTTTCCACACTGGGAGATCTGGCCCTGGGTGCAAGGACTAGTGACATTTGATACAGCACTCATCTGTCTGTGGCCAAAACTGTCAGGATTTGTATTTTGGGGTAGGGTGTTACAAGGGCTCATGTCCTTGTTGGTGCATCAGGGCGTTCCTTCAAAAGAAGAGTAAAACAAAAAAATAAGAGAACCGGCCATATTTGTGTACATTCGGGACAAAGAAAATGAAATATGAGGAAGAGTATTCTGAAGGATGAAAATATCAAATGGGGATGGACAGTGTCTCCGTCTACATTGAGCACTGAGCGGTTTTGACTTTCTTACGCATGCTTGAAATGGAACGTTACGATAAGATGGTGCACTTGTGATTACACTCCTTGATGAGTCCAGGGTTTGTCTTGGGAAGGCAGTACTTTAACAGTTCAGGTGCCTGTATGTGACTGGTGGAACCTGATTCTCTGGCGTTCTCTATACTGGAGAGCGCTGACTTCTTCAACCACTATTTTACAAGGATATTCAAGAATGGATTTCTTGCTGAAACTGCAAGATTCTTTAGACATTAATGTTGAATGCAGACAGCTGACTGATATTTCTCTCTATCTGATCTTTAAGGAATAAATGCTACATTTTTGGAAATACACTTATTTGCTTTCTTTCCAAGAATTAGATGACAAGTTTGATGTCACTCTGATGTCTGCAGGATATGAAGAAACAGAAAGATACCTGTTAGTCTTTACATAGTTAACATAAAGACAAAAAACGGGGGGAAAGAGCTAGCATAGTGCTGTCCAAAATTAAAAATGAATCTCCTTATCAACACCTCTAAAGCTAACTAATCTTGTTTGTGTAATTCTTATAAAAACAAATTGGAAAATCAACAAGTGAGTCTAAGCTAACTGGCTTCTGGCTCTAGCTCTTTATTTAGCGGGGCAGCACTAGGCTAACTCTTCCCACTGTTTCCTGTCTTTATGTTAGGCTAGGCTAACTGGCACCTTCCTGTAGCTTCATATTTATCCGACATGGGAGTGGTGTCAATCTTCTAATCTAACTCTCAGGAAGAAAGCTAAAAACTATTTCGCAAAATGTCCAAATGTTCCTTTAACTGTAGGGCCAGTTCAGTGAAATTAAACAAAACATATTTCCTCACTTGCCTGTAGTGGTAGCTAGCTAGGCAAAGGCCAGGTTTTGAAGTTGCAAAGGAGTTCTGTGAATTATGCAGAGTAAGGTTTACTTACAGAGAAGATTTGTTTTTAATGTTGTGAGCAATAGAAACAAAATTCATATCAGTTTGGAGGGCCAAAATCTCATAGACGGATATCTCAAAACCTGTGCAAATAAAACCAAAATGATTTGCATGTTAGACACCACTAGGGGGAGCTGAGAAAACACGTTTTTTATAATCTGAGTGAACTGACTGTTAAACTGTACAGCGGTAGCTTTAGCAGATGGTCCTCCACTTGCATTTATCCTCCCCTCCTATATTTGTACTGCAGACATTTCTTTCTGGATATTTTACTGTAGAATCAAATTTGTATATCGTAACACAAAAGCAGGTTTAGAAAACTCGATTTTCCAGTGATAGGTGGAACCTCTGCAGTAGCTGCCTCTGTACTTTCTTTGTCCTCAGGCCCTTCCAGTGCCTCTCACCATCTACATGGTTTCCATTTGATGGCAAAGCCTCAGTCTTCGGTTCAGTCCGATCCTCACAGATGTCAGTATACCTTTAATGTACAGATACTTCAACAGGGACAATGAAAACAATAATTCAAGCATTTTCAACTTAGCGCATGCTGCCTTGGACACAGACCACATGGCTCAGTAGGTGAAGGCCATTTACAGTAAATACCAAAGCTGGACCGCCTCAGCTGTTCCCTCACTAAAGATCAGAATGGCCTGCCTGGAAGCCATGTTGATTTTGGCACATGAAGCTGAACACTGCCCTCAAAGAAACAATGGAATTTCCTGGTTGTGCCTTCAGGGAAGTGTTTTTGAATAGGAAAAATGTAGTGTTGCTTGCTTGTCCAGAGATGTAGTGCATATATTCGTGCATAGTACACACAGTGGCTGCAATGTTTTTTTGTTTTTTTTTATGGCAACAAACTGCTGAAGATGAGTAACTTGATCTCCCTAGAAGGTGCCAATTCTTGTGAAAGTGAATTGTGAACTGAATGGAAGTTTTGAATTAAGAATGTATCCTTGTAGTGAATGTAATGTGTAGTTGATGAAACCAGCCCGATGAAAAAACGACTACCAGAGCGGGAGAAAAAAAATCACTGATGGTGTTCAGATCATCCAGTTCTGCAACTCATTATCCTTACTTTGACTCTTGGTAATGCTGGACATGTGCTGTATTATGGGACGCAGACCTACATCACATCAGGAAGCTGTGATGCGCTTTATTGATCTGGTTCATTGAATTGTTAACACTTAATTTTATGTTTCTGAAATGAAGAGTTGCAGATGTCTCCTTTGTGAGAATTGCATGTGGTTACATTGTTGAAAATGTCTTTTTTTTTTTTTGCATCTTATCACCAATCAGAAAAAAGTCCATAAGTGGTTTAAATGACACCGACAAACAGTATATTAACATGTGAATGTGCGCTTTTGGTTAGACAATGTGACTGTATTTTTCCTTTTTATATTTTATAAAGACAACATAAAGCCAGTCATATTACATGACACTCTTTAATTGCACAGGTTTACAAGGTAATTGTCCTTTAAAGCTTTTTTGACTTTACTCATGTGAACTACCACTATCACAGTTAAAGCTATTGCAGGTTCTTTGATTCCAACAGATCCATTTATTTCCCTTTTATGTGTGTGTCATGACTAAGGCTAAATGTTTCTTATTGCTCTGCTGATCATCTATGGTGCTTATTTATTATGGATTTCCACTAATGTAAATGAATGGACATGTATGGGAATAAAGGTGATAAAGATAATCTGTGAGACATTAGTTATGAGTTCTTGGAGTAAGTAAATCTGATCCAAAGACACTGCCAATACAGCCCAAATACATCACAATACATGGTTAGTGGTTTCATCTGGAAATGTGTACATTTCTATTTACCAAGTTATTTGCATTCAGGTGGCCATCCTGCCACCGGTTTCCCTACCCTGTCTCTGGCACTCAGCCCCCAAGCACATTTGTTCTTTCTAAAGGCATAAATAATTAAAACCAGGTCATAAATATACCATTTCATTTTTTAAGAAAGAGTGATTTCTTGATACAGCTGGGCACTGTTGGTTTTACTAAAGGTTACTCCAACAGGAGTAAATACTTGTGTTAGGGACTATTTTCAGCTGCGGACTAATATACATTTGGTGCTAAACTACAATGCACAATTGTAATTAAGGAACATGTCAACCAGTACAATATGTCCAATGTTTTTGAATAGAGCCTTTAAATTAAATAATCAGCAACTTTACTCTACTGTATTACCTAGTATGCAAAGCAACAAATGTTTTGTGACTTGGTACGACAGGAAAAAAGACAGAAAACAATAAGTCAAAGTGTATTTCTTTTATTTGCAGTACATGTTTTTTTATCGTTTTTTTTTTTAAAGAGGTGGCATCATCAGATCCCAGTGCATGTATTCTAGTAGTGCACTTCTTCGTTGGTTGCGGTTTTTGGGACGCGCAGATCCAGGAATTCTTAAAACTACTTGCATGGCTGGATTCACTAGCAAACATTACAAACCAGCACCATACATATAATGATTTCTTGTAGGTATTTACTCATCTTTTTTGTGTTTATTAACATTATTGTCCTTACCACATTCTAAATCAAAATCTGTTGGCCACGTTGTGACTCAAAGAACTTCCCGTCTCTGCATCAAACCTTGGCCGACAGATTTGTTTGGTGGGTAAGGCTGATTACGTAACATCATGACTATAAACAAGTCACAGAAATAAAAATTGATCTTATTCATAAAAAAGGAAAACATGGATTGACAGTACCAAACATTTTCTTTACCTTCAGGAGACAGCTAACAAAGGCTAGGCCCATCACATACTACTAGCACAGTTTGCTGAAGGTATTGCACATTTAGTTTAAAAACAAACAAACAAAAAAGAACAAAAAATACATATAACAATTCTCTTACTTCTAGGTGAAGTATACATAATGTACAAAACTAGAAGTCTGTTGAAACCAACAAATAGTACACTTTCAAATAAATAAATAATGGAATCTGTTATTCACACGTCTTCGATAGCTAATTCTGCAGGCGACTAAGTATATGCAAGAACTGGCAGAAATTCAGCGTGAGGTAGTTCATCAAAGCCGACAAATCAGAATGACATTGTTTGGAGAGATGCAGTAATTATATAAAAAAAAGCAACAACAACCTAAGAAGAAGAAAAAAACAACAACAGAATACTCGAATTAAAGCCCCTAATGTTGGGTTAAGAAAATTAAGAGCACTTTAGACAACAATGTGTTTTTTTTTCTGATTGATTATTTTAGCTAATACAACAAATGGGCTAATATGACAAATGGATACACACCACTGATTCCCTCCCTTCTTATAAATTTGACACTGCTTAAGTCCTAGTTTTTCCTCGTTTGTCGAAATGCTACTGCACATTTACTACTGGACATTAATTTTGCTGTAGGAATCTAAAATAACTGACAGCAGACTGACTTTGTCTTGGACTAATCTGGCTCTCCGTTGCTGCCACTGCACCTGCACCTCACACCTTGTTGCTCCATAATGAACAAATCGTTCCTTTAAATTCCCTAAAAGAGAGCAGGAGCCAGTGGCACCAGCTGTTCGTAAGTTCAAACTTAGAACGGAAGTGTTTACGAAGTTGAGATTTACACATCACGAAATTAAAATGGGTTGCACCACATAAATCCGTTCGTACACAGAGATTAGCTAGTTCTAAATATTTACACCCAGTAAATGCCATGTTTAACTGCTGCATAGCTAAATGACTAAGCTAACATTAGCCTGCTAATATATTAAATGTCACCAGTTGTGCTGCTAACTAGCAAAGCTAACATTAACTTGCTAATATATCAAATGTTGACTGTCCTGTAACTCAATGACGCAGCCAACAATTTCTTGTTAATATATTATACGTTGACTGTTTAGCTGAATGACAAAGCTAAAGTTTGCTAATCTATTACCCGTTTAGACTGTGGAGTAAAAGAGGTAATGTGTTCTAGTTAATGCTCTGACATAAACTTCATAAAATGCTGTTTAGAAGAAGTTGTTCATTTTAAAACAAATTCCACAGAAATAACACAAAGTACAAAACGTGTCAATAATGTTAGAATGAAGTCCAAATAAAACTGAGCATAATAGCGGAATGAGATATTTCTCACTTATTCTACACTGTATTTATACTACACTAACACATACTTCTCTATTTATGCATTTATAAATAAACATAATCGTATCTACATTCACAAGGACCGGATGTTAACTTTAATATATTGTTTGGCCGACTAAAGCGGTTACAGTGTTGCTACAGTAACGTCCATTTTACATCGTTTTTGCGATTTTGATTTTACAGTGCTACAGATTATTTCCAATTTAATAATAGTGATAGTTTTTACTGGCTAAGACATTCCTTGCATTTTAATGGTGCAACCCAATTTACTAAATCAATAGTTAGAAACTAGCTAGTTGTTACTGAGAACATAGGCAGGACACACACACTTAGTAATGGATTTACGAATAGCTGGTGCAAGTCCAGAACTTGCAAGGGAGGAGAGGCACAACCATTAAATAATCGCTTACGTCCATGTTTAGCCTTACATATTTGGCAGACAATGACAATTTGCTAAAGCAGAGCACAGCACAGAGCTACAGTAGCATATGCTACAGTCTAAAGACAAACTTTCGTGCAACTTTTCTTTGAGCCTCCTAAAAAAATGTCTATATCAAAGACCAAGACAGGTTCTTAGACAGACAGTAAAGTTTATGCCTCTGCTGTCAACATCCACAACACCAGCTCGTGACCCACGACAGCACAATACATCCCAACTCTGCCTCTTGCAGATAGGAAGTTTAGTTATGCAAACATTTGTAGCAGGCAGAATGGCTGCATGAAACCTCATCATTTTAATTGAAAATAGCACTTGTTTCATTGATTTAAGACCGATATTCATGATGTCAAGAAACCATTACACAACTTGCCTAGATAGCTTTGAGCTATTACAGCATGTTTAAACTTGATTTACTATGGTTAGAGTATTTTTCCAGTTAGTAGCACAAGTGTTGAATAATTTGGCTCTGCCTTACAGATATGTCTTCATAACTATATCCTACTATATATCCCAAACCACCACAAAATACTGACAATAATGTAGTCGCAGAGTTCACTCATTTAGTTGATCCAGTAGTTTAATTTTACAACACGTCTATCTTGTTCACTCTTAGAATCATCACATTAAATTAGTATTCAAAGAAAAGCCAAAAAACTGTTATTAACCTATATTTCGGTTGCTGTCACTGCAAAGAACGACTTCTTTTTTACTTTGATGAAAGACCTTGATAAACCTGCCTTTTCTTCTGAAATGACTCAAACACACGGTTAGGCATCTCAACGTATACGTCATCACCTTCTTACCCTGCAAGACACCACAGTCTCCCACTCAAGGGTCAAAATCAAAACAAGTAGAAAAATATACGATACATTTGTGAGAACTACAACCCCATCATACGTTATTGGTTTGATATGGAAACTACTGTTGTTATCCAGACGCCATAAAAACCTACACATAATGAACACACTTCCTCCCAGGAATGAATGACAAACAACAGGCACTTTTCCTTTCAAAGCAAAATCAAAAACACTCAAAAAAAGGGCACTATTATTGCATACCATAAGAATAATTTGTTTCTTTTGACTCTGGTTGTTTGTGCTGCGGTTTAACATGCTATGTTTTAGGTTCTTCTACTTTTATTCAAAATTGCAGGCAAGTCTGGTGCACAAAGTGTTTGGCCAACTTTTAGAAAAATCCCTTTTAAATGTCCAAATTCACAAAAGTACATTACTAATAACAGGATCTGGTTAGTAGGAAGCAAGACTTCTTTTCACACTGTTCCATCAGGCTGCAGAATCACTATCCCCTCAAAACACCGAATATCAACACGTTCACATGCGTTCTCAATATCAAAATTCCCTACTTGACTGAAGCACGTTCTACTGACACCGTCACCGTTTGTACAACCTCACACAACTACACATCTCCGAAAACCTCCCAAAGCACGGCAAAAAACCCCCAAAACAATCTCAAGTCCTGAACTGTCGAAGCAAGCCAGTGGAGAATGTGAAAGAGCTCCGTGCATTCAATCCTCCAAAGCAAAACCACCACACGCCAGTTCCATAATGTCACACAGCCCGTTGCAGACAAGAGGAAGAGGTACTTTAAAGCACTTAAAAATACAGAAGACATCAAAAAAAGCTCCAAGTTATCTTGCGGGACCAAACTGTGCCATTATCAATCCCATAACTTAAATGTATGACGGTAAATAGGATCACATGATGAGTGACAATTGTTTTGAAATCCTATCGTGTCTAATCAGGAAGTGAAGAATGAGGAAATTATAAAGCTTTCATTAGAATTTTACAATGTAGGAAGTAGTAGTGACTCACAAGAAAAAAAAATTTACAAGTAAATCTACATGATCTCAGTTCAAATAAATGGATATGTCATATGCATTTAAAACAGTATCCATATTATGTGAGATAAAACAGATAAGGGGAGTACTAAGACCATACGTTTGTCAATTCAATTATGTTTCAATGGCTCACTGCAAACTTGTATCGAAGATAAAACTACATCTACAGTAAAATCTGTACAAACTCAATCTACATTTATATGGCAAGTTGTAAAAGCAGTAGCTTACAAGTGAAACAAATGACTTTCAACAGAAAAATAGATCACATTAAAACATTTTACAGATATTTCTTTAAATTCTCACTGTCGGTTAATACAAACCGCAACATAGTGAAATCATAAAAATTCTCTTATCATCTTAGGTTTCTGAAAAATTAACAAATGCCACAATAAATTACAGCTAGGACTCAAACAAAAAGAAATCCTAATTTTAAAAAAAAAAAAAGACTATAACTGTAATAAAAAAGAAAAAAGTTTTGTCCTTTCAGAAATCAAAATATTTTTCAAACAGCTAGCTGGCTAATCGCTACACTACTGAAGACAAGCACAGAGAGGAGGTGGGGGGAGGAAAATGCAAGGGGTTGGGGCCAGGGGCCAGGAGCCAGTGTCGGGCTAGTGGTCTTGGATGTGACCGGGGGTGAGGCCCAGCCCAGGACCGGGGTGTAGATAGTAGGATGATAGTCACTCTGCAGCAGGGCCCACGGGGGCGTTGGCTGTAGGTAGCAGCAGCAGCGGCGGCGGCGGGGACAGCGGCGGCGCTGGCCGTCTCCAGGCTGCTGTCGGTGTCGGTCAGGGTCGGGTCAGTGGACATGGAGGAGACGTCGGCGGAGGAGGACGTGGAGGTGTGGTGCTGGTGGTGCTGCTGCGGGCTGCTGCTCACTGCTGCACCTGTGCTATGAGGAACAGGAACAGGCCTGTGGTCAGCCATCAATAGTGAACACGCAGCAGCTGAAGCACTTTTGTGTAACTGTGGTTAAGTTAATCGAGTCTCTTTCACTTTCTATTCAAGCCAACTCAAGTGCTAAATGATCATATATACTATCACAGTAACATCAAAACATAATAGGTTGCAAAGTAAGACTTATAGGTGTTTAAAAACAAAGACAAAACCTTTAAGTTGTTTATTCATGAATGCAGGAGAAACTATATTAAATATGGATACTCTTTAATGTTTAAATATGGATGTCTTTCTTAAAATAAAACCTTATAATAATTTGGTAACAGCTTCTCAAAACTTAAAAAACTTTTTACACAACAGAAGAAAAGTAATAAAATCAGAACAATGAAAAAGGTCAGAGGCACAGAGGACTGGTTTGGCTGTCACATTGATCAGAGAAATATATGTTATGTATAACATTTAAAAAGAGCACTACTAATGCCATATTACATGCTGGATAAATGCACTGCAGTGGACAGTCACCACTACTACTACTTTACTACAATTATTATTCTGGTTAAAAGTCCTGTGCCACTTTAGCCAAATCTACGCAGGGTCATAACACAATATGTAGTAAGCGTCCAATTAGACATATTAGTGTGATAATTTTGTCACTCACCTACAGACGATTCCTTTAGAGGAATTACAGAAATGAAGTACCAAGATGAAGCTCAAGAATGGAAAACACTTTTTCCGTGACAGAAATTACAACCACGTCAAATGCAGAATTGTATCAGTTCAATTTGGACAGTTGATGGGCACAGGTGTGCTGTACAATAATCACAATTTGGATCATTTAGACATCTTTAAGAGGTACAAGCTCTCTCATGTGATCTCTATCACGCATACTCAGACACACAAGTAACTCCACTAACCTATGGACGCTGGCTGTCCCCTGATGACGCCATTCTTTGTCCTTTCTTCCCAGTCCAACACTTCTTTATATATCAACTCTGCAACAAAAAAGAAACCATCATTTAATACAGAAAAAGCAGAGAGGCAGGCAAAAGCATCCCACAGTGAACATTTTGGTAAACATTAGTAAGCTGTATGCACTTCACTAATGTCACCATGTAGGTTTTCTGAATTTTTAACTAATTGCCATTTTATTCTTCAGTCAATTTCCATAACTGTGTGATCTGGAGCCACTAGTGAAATAAATGAATGGTAATTAAAGGTACATGGGATTTTATTTCTAAGGAGAGAAAGATGTAATGAAACGTCCTCTGGCAGTGTTTGTGTGTGTGATCAGGAAACACCAAGAAGTCACACTCCAGGTGTAAATCTCCTGCTGCCATTATCACTGTGTCAGCCCTGAGGAGGAGGAAGATGTTTAAATGGAGCAACAACTTGAGGGAGGCACCTCTTCTTCTCTGCCCCCTCACATTCCTCTGGTGTTTCCAAGGGGTCAATCACTGCCCATTTCCATTTCCATGTCGCATTTAAGTAATTTGTAAAGAAAACATTTCTGGGCTATGCAGTTCTATGCTGATGATACTCTGCTCAATGTTCCAATGAAACCCTATAACAGTCACTAGTAGTCTTATGTCTGTTTATGTCAGAGATGTCATGTGTTAAAGTCAAAGTCAAAACTTCCTGCAGCTTAAATTGAAATGTTTATTTGGACTCAAAATTCCATTAATTATCTATAATCAAGTCTTGGGCCCTGTCCATGTACACCATCGACAATTTGTCTAAAATGATCTACAATTCTGACCTTTCCTTTAATTGACTTTGAAAATCTAATGCCTCTATTTAATCACAGAGTAACAATCTAGTGTAATTATATGAAAATACCACAGAATAATACAGATTTTACACAAGAACAAAAAACACGTTTAGAAAGTGAAAATAGGAAACCAAGAGGACATGTAATTAACATGCGTCAGTTATTTCCAAAATAAAATAACAAAATAGGAAAACATTATCTCATTCACGAGTTCAGACTATGCAGAGGAAAACATGTATATCAGTTTGAGAATGAAGATGAAAATGTCCCACAGGCTGCAAAGCACGAACACAGAACAACCTTATGCAACACACTGCAAAAAGCTAAGTACTTATGTCAGCTTATCAAAGAGGAGGGAGAGAAGAGGAGAAAAGAGAGGATGTTTCCTACCTTTCCACTCCTCCACTGTGTGCTCTCTCTCATCCAGCTGCTTGTCTGTGATCACGGGTGGTGGCTGAAAACAGACAGACACGTTTTCTATATTTCACTAAACATAGAGCAAAGTCGACACACATCACACTCACGTAAATGATTTGTAGACTTAAACAGCACAGTGAACATCCAAAACCATTAGAAAAGGGACTGTATAGCATTCTTCCAGAGAATAGCTTTTACTTGTATGTTCTACATTGACCTATACTTTTACAAGCAAGCAAAGGTTAGTTGTCTTAAGACTGTTTATGGACCATTAATGGGGATCAAACTCATGAGATTAAAGTTGTAGGACACCAACCACTAGGCCACCCTACTGTCACACAAACTTACTAATATGGCTGACAATTTAGTCTGTCTAACTAGCAGAACTGAGGTTTTGATTCCAACTACAACAGCAGGTGAAGAATGAGCAAAACTTAAACTAGAGGGGGTAAAACTCAGCTGCAGTAGCTCCCAGCTCAAACTGAAAACCTACAGACTCAGCTAATTGACAGCACAAGATAGAAAAATGCTGCATTTAACCTTCCTCACATTAAACCCATTTAATGCAGTTTTTTTTCTGCTTTGGCATGCACAAACCAGTCCAGAAAAATACCACAAACTTATAAAATCAAATTTATAGCACAAATGCTGGAATCAACTACCTCAGAGCCAGCTGTGGGACACAGTTATCTGTCCTCCCCAGAGTCAAACGGAGATCTGATGCATTTATGCAGTGTCAGAGCAAAATCTGTGTACAAATCTGCACTTTTCAAGGCTGTGCTGTTCTGAAGAGTGATTTCATTCCAGAGGAGAGGGGAGAAAGCAATAACTCACCTCATCTCCCAATTCGCCTGATCACAGGCAAAATCAATTTGCACTGGATGAGTCATTCTGTCTCCAAGGAGAGTAACGTTGTGTCACCACACACAGACTTTTACATGCAGAGCACAAACATTTTCAGAGAGAAGGGGAGACTGAGTTTTATAGCTTGTAGTCCTGATACAGAGACAGGAGGTTTTCTTTCTAATAAGTGGATTCTTTTAATATCTTAAAAGAATATTTTAAAACCAAGTATTCAGGGGCGTTAAACAGAGCAATTAATTAACTTGAGAATGTAATTAATTATAGAGTACTTACTGCCTCCACTTCAGTAGGGTCGTACCACACGTTGATATAAGGGTGCTGGAGAGCCTCATCCACTGAGATCCGCTTTGACGCGTCTATTACCAGCATCTTAGATAGTAGGTCTCGGGCTTGGCTCGCTGAAAAGAAATTGTAGAAAATTAGAAAATAAATAGTAAAACAATAATTCAACTTGTTGTGTTGGAGCAGGACACAATGCAGGGAGGGACATCAAGAATATTTCCTATCATGGTCCAGTGTGTAACTTAGTAGGGCTGCAGCTAACAATTATTTTCCTCATCTGTCAATCAGATTCTAGATTAATCAATTAGTTATTTAGGTCTACAAAATGTCCTCAAATCTCTTCTTTTGTTCACAACCCGAAGATATTTAGTTTACTGTCACAGAGGACAAAAGAAACCAAAAAATATTCACGTGATAAGCTGAAATCAGAGAATGTGGACATGTGGACAATGACACAAAACAGTTTTTCAATTAATTGTTGCAGCTCTACAGCTTAGTTTATTGTTAAAACTTGAAACCTCCACTGCACATGCTCATAGATTTTTGATTTATTTTTTTTTAAATGAGGGAGAAGAAGCAGATGTCATTTTAAGGATTTTAGGTTAAAAAACAAACATCACAAACAAATATTTATTCTAGAGAATGTTTATGTGTCATGAAACATATCTGGAGGACCATTATTGAATGCTGTTACAGGATGATGTCATTCAGAGGGATGCAGTTTTCTGAAAATTAACGTGAGCTTATTTAAAGGTGCTCTATGGAATTTTGCAGTATAACGGGAGTTCTTCAGGGGAATACACTGTTGTCACATATTTCTGCTTCTGTAAATTAATGAGGACAGAAAAAGATGAGCTCCTTTTTTTCTCGCGACATGTTGCAACAGCTCTACAGCGCTAGCTGTGAGTGTTCCTGTCATCTTCTCTCCATTTACACATGAGTGCGCTTGAGGTAAATTCCCCTTCACAGTAAACAACTTGGTCCTGAACTGTCAGCTTCCGTAATAAGTGCTTAATCTAAAGCAGCCACTGAAAAGTGATTTGCCACTTGGGCTTTGCTGTCAGCAAATGTTTGTAAGACTGCAAAACAGAATGCAACACAAACTGATGCTATATGGAGGGAAAAATTCTGCTTCGCAAGTGGACACATACTCTCTGAGCCACCACGGACATGAAATTAGAAATAATCCTTCAATTACAATCATAGACATTTAAAATTCACCCGTGATAAATTCTACAATAGCGAAAAGAGAACCAGCTTTAAAAAGTCTTTTGTTCAAATTTCAAGCAATAAAACTGAAGCATTGTGGCATAAAACTCATCATTGCCTCATTATTCCTTGCAATGTCTGGCCTGTGATAAAAATGGCTATTTAAATTTTAAAATGGTTCCCCTTCAGGCTGGACGATTGCTGCACCTATAATAGAGGAACTGTGCTCCAAAACGGTTTTAACTCTTTGCACTAGATTTGCAACCTCACACCAGTGCTACACATGATGGGGGCATTAGAAAGACCACAGCATCTTTACCTTTCAGTTTGTTGTGTTCAGAGTCTGCAGGAAACAGGACATCAGGGAAGAGCTTCTCGAAGCTGTAGCCAGCATACCGTGGCCTGTTCTCCACGTAGGTCCTCACTGACTGGTTGAGCTTCATCAGGAACTCCTGAGACGGCGTGCCCAGCTGTTCGATCACCTTATTCCACTGGTCGATATCTTAAGGTTACAGTATTAAGAAAAGCACTAGGCTGGGTTTGGACAAAAGGAGCGGCCATTCCAGAGCCGGACTGGAGCATTTTGGATAATATTTTGAACTGAGAGCCATCTGGAGTTTCAGTGTCTTGTACTGCATTGTGCTGGTTTGGATTTGCTCCTAAAATACTTGTGTAACTGCAATTGTGCTGAAAAAGAAATGTTGTTACTGGACGAGGGTTGTAGAAAAAAAGGCACACCATATATTTGTAGTTTACCTCTGAGGAAAAGGTTGTAACAGATTTAAATCATTCAGGATGGACTGAATCAGGTACATACACCTTGAACTATGTGGCAAAGAATTTCATTTCAAACATCTGGAAGTTTGGAAATACTGCATGTCAGGTGAGACAGGTGAGGCTCACCTCAAGTGGTCCAGATGCTAGAAATATGTGTGCAACTCTTTTTCTTGAGGACAAAAACAAACACACATATACATACAGATGTAATATGTATAGAGGTACCTGGAGGACACATACAGAAACACCTTGTTCACATCTTTGTTCATACTTAAAACTGAATGAACAACAAGGAGGGGAAGTCTAGCCAGTCATACCAAAACCTGGATAAAGACAAGTTTGACAGATGCACAAACTATAAATCAATAAGTGTATAAAATCTAAATTACAAATGGTTTACTTCCACCCTGGCACAAAGAATATAAAAGGTTCTGACTAACATTATCGACCAAACTCATTCAAACGCAAGTCAATTCCTTCCAAAAAACAGACAAACAATGGAGCAAATCATAGCTCTGAAGAAGGGATTATCTTCTGTGACAGAGCCAGGCTTACATCAACGCTGCTATATAATTTGTAGTGAGTCGACCAACACAAACTGGCTGAAAAACATTAAATGCTCCTAACAATTGCTACCTCACTTTCAATTTAATATTACATTAGTGAGACTGATGAGTCACATGCTACTGTGGCAGGTTAGGTTAAAATAACCCTCTTCATACATAGATACATGGACCCGACTCAATACTGAAATAAAACAAAATGGCGATTCACTCTAATTATCAAGCTAGGAGAGGTCAGATAAGTCCTACTTCCAAAGCCAAGTTGATTAGTATTAGTATTATTACATGGTAACATACAGGTTAACAATTAAATATAGATTTTAACTATGAGTATATCCATTAGCCAAATCATTTGGTCAATATTAGCCTTCTTAGAGCGCTACCGCCAAATGTAAGCTTTAGTTAAATCGTATACTACTTTAACAGACTCATTAGTTAAGACTGCTGCTCTAAAAATGAAAAAAACTTGCTAGCTGCTATCTCGTCAATGTCGCCTCTCTTTGAGGACACTAAACACTGCAGAGTGTTTAAACCAATATAAAGATTTAATTATCAAGCTAATGCTTTATTAAATTTAGCTAGCCACAGTCAACCATTAGCATATTACAGTTTTAAACAACCATTAGCTTCATGTAGCTTCTTAATGTAAAGTAATAAATCAGTAATAGGGCACCAAAAATGTTCCCAAATACTGATACACACTCACAATAAACACAAATATAGCCTCTATGCAGAACGCTGGTTTCAAGAAAACATGCAAACCAGCTACAACTGCTGAATAAAGCACCAGCACAATGTTTATCGCATTGTGTTCATTCGTGTACAAGGACAAGGTTAAAAAATACTGAACCGACCGCTTTCGTGACCAACATTTTTACATGTCATAGCAGGAAAACCACAGGTGTAATTAATGAACCCTAGCTTTGTGCTCGTTAGCGCACTAGTATGGCTCACTGGGTCAGCCATTAGCGTTATTAATTACACCTGTGCTTTGCCTGCTATGAAGAGGACCTGTCATCCCTCTTCGCTGAAAGAAATGAATGTCAACACTGAATACTATGACGTCACCACTCATTAAACAGGCACAGTAGCTCTGCAGGTTTCCCCCACTGTGTGCGCAGATATGAACAAGATGTCAGACAAAGGATGAGACAAGACAACATTTTGGGTGGTTCGGATGGAGGTTTAACTTAAGGATACGATCAGTGCCTGGAAACAACACACTACCCCGGACCATTTCAGCCATGATGCAGCCAACAGACCAGACATCAACTGAAAAATGAAATGACAACCACCAAATTAGCATGCAGGACTGAAAAACAAACAGAAAAACAACCCCAACAAAAAAAAAAAAACCCTCAAAACAACAAAAGGGAAAAAACACGATGTGGTGCCAAGGTGATGTGTGTGATACATGACAAACAGGAATTGCATGCAGTTGAGTGCAAACCTGGGTCAGCGTCCCACAGGGTTAAGGGAAATGATTATTGTTTGTTTTTGGGCTAGCACAAACTACATATAGTGCAAATTTCTGAAAGAACAGCAATACCACTAATCAGAGACTCATTTCTACTCCAGGAACACTGAGTGAAAAATAAGCTTGAAAAAGAGAGACACTGACTTTCAAGGTCTTCTGAAAATGTTTTGTGCAGAGATGCATGTTAACACCCTCAGCATCCTCACTGCAGTTCACGTTGTTTGTGTTCAACTGGAATATTCTCATCTGTGAGGCCAGAAATGATCATTTTGGAGCTTTCTCTGTCACACCCACATGTGCGACACTGCAGAGTCTCACAAATATTTCTGTAGCGGAGCACCAATTTATTCAGTATTATAGTGTGGAGCCAAACCTAACAATTCATCTTTTTTGTCTGAATGCTTTGCTGCTCCGGCGTCTACAAAGACACATGGGAAGCTGAGTGAGGATAGACGAGGTTATGTTTTTGCAGTTTAATTCTGAACTATGGAAGAGCAAACCATTAAATTCTATTTCAGGTTTTTCGTCTGACTGTCGTGTCTGAAATAACAGCTTTGCTGCTTAGGTGAGTGAGGAGGGAGTCGTGTGAGTTTGTGAATCTGTAGGAAGAGCAGGTGGGTGGTTGCAAGTGGAGGGTGTCAGGCAAATCAGAGAAATAGAATTTCTGTAGTTGCTCACAGGATATGATCTCCGTGCGATCCATTTGATGAAACTAATGGTTTATAGAGACAAAAGACGTTTGTGTGCTGTGTTTTGTTTCACAAGGAGTGCCAGACACTGCTGCAAGCAGCTCAAGGATACAATCCCTTCCTGGAAAAAGGATTTTGTGGCGAACCATTTCTGCCATAATGCAGCCCACAGCCCAAATATCCACTATATATGCGCAGCATAAAAGAAGGAAGAAGAGAATAAGCAAAAGAAATGCAACAAGTCAGCAGGAAAAATTAGGGTCAGTGTTTTTGTTCCAAAGGATTAAGGATGGAGTATTAGTAGATTCTGCTATAACGGGAGCATTATTGCTATGTATACACCTCATGATGCTTGCACAGATTTTATATCCCAAAATATATAGATTTGTTTTCTCGCCATTATGCATCTGACTTTATACATAAAAGTACTATCTGCTAGGCCAATGGAGCCCCAGTCACGTATCTATCAATGTTTTAACATTTTGAGAAATGTGCTTGTTTCTAGCAGAGTAATAGACTGATACAACTCTCATGTCTGTATGCTAAATATGAAGCCAAACAGGTAGCTTAGCTTAGCATAGCCTGGAAACACAGGGAAACAGCTAGCTTGGCTCTGTCCAGTTGTATTAAGATCTGCCTACCAGCACTGCCAAAGCTCACCAATTAGCACATCATATTTTCCTGGAAGAAATAGTCCAGCAAATAACCCCTGTAAAACCTCAACTTTTTTACACTTCAGATTTCGTACCAATTAAACAAACGAGATATAATGTGACAATATTTAACAGAGTTGGTCTAGCTGTTTCTCCCTGCAACCCATCTATATGCTAAGCTAAGCTAAGCATCTCCTGGCGCTAGCTTCATATCGAACAGACACGTATGAGAGTCGTATCAATCTTCCCATACAACACATGGCAAATTAGCATATTTCCCAAAATGTTGAACTATTCCTTTAAGACCGTCTTGCAGAAACTGTGGTACGTTCCAAGCAGGAGCACCAAGTGAAACTGCTGAAGCATGCACAAGTGCCTGTATTCATACTGGCATTTTTAGCCAGGCTGTAAGGAGCTCAGGACAGGCAACCTCTTAATAAAACATCAAACGCATGCTAAAGCACTGCTGGGAACTGGAGTCCCCAGACAGGAAGTTTCCCACAAAGCACCGATGCCCAACATGCCAACTTCCCCCCTGAGTGTGACCTTTACAGGAACAGGGAGCGTGTGTGTGGGAGAGTGTGTGTGTGTGCGGGAGGTGCTGTCGAAAAACATCCCGGGGAGGGGGCGGGGGGAGGGCCATGCAGCAGGCCAGGCAGCAGCTTAGGAGCTCCTCATTGGCCGGTCGCCGTCTGGAAGCCGCTTTTCCTCCACTCACCATTGGCCTGGTATCCCATGCCCAGGATGACTTCGGGGGCGCGGTAGTAGCGGGTGACCACGTAGGGCGTCATGAGGAGGCCGGTGGCGGCTGTCCTGGCCAGGCCGAAGTCCAGGATCTTCAGTGTGCAGTCAGACTTCACCACGATGTTGCTGGGCTTCAGGTCCTGTTCACAATACACAACACTGAGAGGGTTACGAGCTTGACTTAGACTGAGGTAGTACCGCTGTGGTATGCTGGTATTCTGCTCTAAAAGGTAAAAGGAAGAGTTTGACACAGGAAAAACACTTTTGGGTGGGGATGTCCAATAAGTTGTTGATGTGGTGCAGCTTGGATACTGATGCTTGTTTTCCTCTAGAAGAAACCATCATTCTTTTGGTGTAGTGTGAAAAAACAATTACCCACAGAGATGATGCATCACAGAGAGCACCGTGTTTGTTTACACCGGCTAGTGTAAAAGGTAGAAAAGTGGTATTTCCACCTGCTTTGTCCACAGCTCACTTGTTTTCACTAAAAGCGAATAGCTAGATATTGTTGCCATGGAAGTGTTTTTCTCTCACCATAAAAGCACCTGACTCGTTGCCTCTGGCTACAATTTATGGATGGCCGTATGCCAATTAATTTGTTCCAAAAACGAATTTGTCAGCCCTGACAAGTTGACTAGTTGGCATTCGGTGTAATTTACATACAAAATTGGCTACTTCATCTGTCATTTCATACCAATCATCATCGTCTGTCATAACCACTTCCTAGTTTGGAGACTTCTACTGCCATCAGGGGTGCTGCTCACTAGTCAACAATACAATACAATACAACACTAATTAACTAACTAACATCAACATCTTAAATGCATTACAGGTAACTAATCCTCATGATCATAATCACTATCACTGCTTCTTAACAACGGGGCCATTGGACTGTAGGGCTAAAGCACAATTGATTGTGCTCAACTGCCCTGAGAGGTAGGACAGTGTATTGTAGAGGGAGTGCTCAGCGGCTCTGGGCATCTTAAAAAGGACTAGAGAGCTCTCATCGCAGAGACAGAGCCCACGAGAACAAGAGAATCTTTGCCGATCCATGACTCATATTGCATCTGTTCACCTTATGAAAGCTTTGCGTGCCGAGACGTGCTGATGCGAGCGGGGCTGGTTAGCTCCGCCTGTGGCTCAATTAGTTCTGGCTGGCAGAGCAAGAGGGGCTCCGCTAATCTACTGCTGCGTCTTTCACTGAGGGTGATTGACAGAGTGCCGTCACTCTCTGTGTGTGTGTGCGCATACATGAGGGATCCTTTGTATATCGCTGCTATATCCTGCGTCTGTTGTTTCAACGTGAACAAGCACCTGAGTGTGTATGTGTGCGCTTACTGCAACCTGTACATCATCTATGCTGCATAATGTCCTGTTTCTGTTCGGCTGTGTTATCTGGTTATCTAAATGAAATGAGAGTCTGCCAACTCCCAAATTTGAAAGGAACAGTTCTCCATCTTTCTGAGAGGTAGACTGATCCTACGCTCATGTCTATACTGTAAATATGAAGCTACCACCAGCAGCCGGTTAGCTTGGTTAAGTATAAAGACAAGAGTAAGGGGGGGAGGGGGTGTCCTGTCTTGAGGGTAACCAACCAGCAACCAGCACCTCTAAAGCTCACCGATTAACATGTTATGGGCCATATTTTGTGGCAGTGCAACAGCAAGTGCAGGCAGCACTTTTCCTGACCTTGAAACTGGCTTGGCCCCTGGTGTTTCGGTGCTCGGGGTGCACAGGTGAGAGGAGAGGTGCCAAAATGAGTCAGCAGGAAGAGAGCTGTTGGTATTTTGGTGTGTCTTAGATGTGCCGTGAATAGACATCTCATCTGCAGCCACTTTGCCACAAATCTCGGACAGTGCGCAGCAATAACGGAATAATGTTTAAAGCGTTAATAAACAGATCTAAGGACTTAGTTACTTAACGTGGTTAAAGGAGAAATGTCAATAAACCAGTCTGCCTTCTACTATAAATGGCTATGAGTGGCTCTTACAGCTGCTTTATACTGTATGAAAAGCTTCTCCTTCCGTTCATTAAGTCCCAGCAGCCATCTAAAGGCAGCAGGACAGATATGTTGATGAATTTGCAGCCTCTGATTGGAGAAGAGTGCAGCACCATTACGCCCGACCTTCCACTATGTTTACCTTCATTAAATCACCTGAAAATGACACCAGGCTGCTACAAATAACCACACATACACTTTTACACACATCAGACTGTCCAGTTCTAACTCGGCATCCTGCCTGTTTATGAGGGAGACATCAGATTAGCAGAGCTCATTAACCCTGTGCATCACAGCCTCCTTTCCATTTTATTCTTAAAATGCAATACAAAGCAAACGCTGCTGTATCACATTTCAAGATATAACCATTTACAGAGCTATATAAAAGTAGAATTATGACAAATAGAGTCACATTTGTGCACTTGGGGATACCTATACAATCTGTGAACCCAAGACCTACCGCTCAGTACTTGTGTAACTTAGTGTAAAAATGACAGATTATAGTGTTTTGGGCCACCGCGCAATTTTCTCCTCTAACTCTCAGCAAGTAAGTGTATTTCCCAAAATGTTCTGTGTACTTCAAACTTTAAACTTTTAAAAGCTGGGAACATTATACACGATCCGTTTGCTGCTGCTCAGTTGGCTTACATGGGTTTTTCAATGCCATATTTTTCTGGCTAATGGCTGCCAACCACATTAGGACATTTTGCTGAATCTCATTAACATAATCAATGTTGGCAGCCTTGTCATTGCTGATTCCTCTGAACTTGCTGCTGAGAGATGCGGGGCTGCTGAGTCATAAATGTTCATTTACAGCTCTATTTCACTTTGTTCATGTGTGACTACGATATACAATGTGTGCCTTTTTATCTTGAGCTGATGCATGAACACTATTTTGCGCGCATGTCGGCGTGCCTCACCCTGTGTATGATGCCGGCACTGTGCAGGTGTTTGATTCCGCACAGCATCTGGTAGAGCAGGTAGGAGAGTCTCTCATGGTCCAGCTCCATCTGAATCACCTGGCAGAGGTTGGCATCCATCAGCTCCATCACTAGATACCTGCAGGGAAACCACAGAGGGGAAAATGATCACGCAGGGACGCACGCAGGCTGGCGGACATACATACACAGAGTTTTCATAAGTTGGTACTTTACATGAACCGGCCCACATCTTACTGTGGATTGGCTTAACTTTCTTGGTTACTCAAGAAAGAAAACTATGACTATATCATCAAGCTATTAACTACGAGCAACAATAAATGTGAAACTACATTTCGAGCTCCCATTTCCTCACCCACGCAGCACTTGCTTTCCTTGGCATTTAGGGAGTGACAGTAAGGGTTCTACTTAACAAAATAGTGATGATGTTATGCTATCTGGCAGCTGTTACATCATCAGTCCCTACAATCCTCCTACATGGAGTACGGATGTTCTGACAGATTTTTATACCAAAAAGAAACATCTTGGTGACAGAGCAGGCAGCTTTAGAAGTCATTTTGAAAGTAGGACTGCGTGATATTTTTTTACACTCCATGTTTTAATACAATGTTTACTAAAAACTGAAAATGGGTATGAGTCATTGTCATGTATTTGTGCAAGGTTGACATTTGTTTGTACTGAAATCCATATTTTTTAGAAATTGTTATAATCCACTGTGTGCTGCACTGTAATACAAGTATGCATTCAGGTACACAAACAGGCAAATGGAGTGTTCGTCCTCCATCCTCTAACTGTGTGTTCGCCCCGCAACCCTCTGGCTATGATTTGTCCAGTTTCCTTTTTAGCTCCAATCAGGCAGACACAGCACTGCAGACACACACACACACACACACTATCTCAGACAAACACATACACAGAGCTTCTAGAGGATGGCATTAATCATGTTTGTTCCCGTCGTACTCTGCGAAACCATCACTTCCCCCACATCTCAGTTTAGTATTCCACTCCCTGCGAACCCACAGCCAGTTTCCACTCGCATGGGCGTCTTGTCGGCTTCGAAGCGCATCCTGCCGAATATGCCCCGGTGTTGATCCTATTAAAAGCCAGAGTCCACCCAAATGCAGAATTTATAAAAGCCGGAGCAGAACCACCAGGGAGTGATTTGGTAGTTTGTATGCTGAAGACCTGTGAGTTTTACCTGACCCCTGATGTTAAATTTGAATCTCACTATGACTTAAGTCAGTGATCATAGTTATTTTAGGATGACACATTTCCACCTGATAATCCACTGACTGAAGCTAGTGTCTTAAACATTAAACATGTCCACTTACATTACAGGTATCATCATGATATGTATTCCTTGAAATACATCTCCTCGTACTATGTACTTGTAATGACACAGGATAACACACTAACCACAAGCCCCTTTAAGTCAGAAAAGATAATCCAAGCCCCCAGCATGCTATATCCTATATTGATCTGACAAACACACAGTGAGCAGATGTTCTCTGGCTCCGTATTACTCACACATCTTGGAATTCTTCCAGTGTCTTCTGTGGTGTGAATACATTTAATAGGCCGATAATCTGCCGAAAAATAAAAACACACAGTTAATACTCTGCCAGTCCGGAGGGGAAATTAAGGGTTGGAAAATGCAATGGAATATTTATTTCTATGAAAATGTCACAAGTTATTACTTTACATTATTCTGAATAACAAATGACCACACATCAATATTTCATCATTTGCAATAGAGCCTGATGCAGCACAGTTACAGTGGAGGTGCAAGGGAAAGAATGATGTTCAAGCTGATTTAGAGACTAAAAATTGTGTCTACTGAGAACTCACTGCTCCCACATGCTTGTTACTTCTTCACTGATTTCAACTCTGAAACAACCTTTTTGTTTAAACACGGGCGTAAACCTGTATCCACAGGAAGCGCACAGAGAGACGGTAAAGGTGTCACAGCTCAAAATCTGCCGTCCCTGATGGTAAAATATGATCTACAGAAACATAACAAACACGCTAAGAAAACAGAAAGCTCTTACGTTCTTGTGGTTGACACATTTCATGAGCACCAGTTCTCTGTAGGCCCGTTTTGCGTGAGTTTGATTCTGAAAGGGCCGGCTCAGCTTCTTGATGGCGACGTTCCTCTCCAAGTTGTGGTCATACGCTGAACTGTGGTAGTGAAAGCAAAAACTTATATATACACGATATACAACAATAGTATGAGTCAAGAAGCCTGAGAGTACTGATACTTTAACCCTTCACACTCTTCCAGTGGGTGCTTGCAATGTTGAAGATGAAATCACAAGTTGTACTCTCATCGAACATGTTTTGGCCAATTCAGTCAAAGAGGCGGCACCACAGTGTCTTTTGCATTCTTGTGATTCATTCCTACATGCAAGGGCTTTAAAATGGTGATTTTTTTTTTTAGGGTACTTCTTACAGTCCAACTGAATTTGTTAACAGTTTGCAATCTAAAATCATGTAAAAAGGATTTTAAAATGTATTTTTTATATTTTCCCTTATTAAAGGGGGGAGGGGGGGGTCATATTTAGAGTTATATCCAAAAATGTTACGCTATGTAAACAAACGTATGCTTACCAGCTAAGGACAGGTAGTTGTTTTTCTGCAGCCGTATTTGGAGAATAAGCACCACACCATTGAGGAACTAATACAGCTTGAGACTTGCAGGTTTCTAATCTGTCCAACGTGCTACAGTTAGTTAGTTATTTAAACTGACAGCGTGTCCATGGTTCTGAATAGGAGGTTGTCATTAGCTAGAAAACTAATGTGTGTTGTTATTTAAAGTATGTGTGTTTCTTTGCATTTGGTGTCAGGCTGCTGTCTGTTGGTCAGGGTCACCATCAGCCTATAGTTAGTGCTTTATATGTTTAATATGTGGCTCTTTAGCTACTGTCTGTCTGTTGTCGGGTGCTGAGCAGGTAGAGCACTATCACTGTAAAAAACACTTAAGTTACGAGCCGTAGAGGGTTCATCTGTACAAGTGACCTCTCTCACATACAGGCAACATTTGGGCCATTGTTCAATATAAATAAATGATCATAGTAGCTTTAAGATGTTTGTTTGTTGATTCAATGCCATGGCACGTTCTGAGGCTGTACTTTATGGTGTTGTTCTATCGGACTCAATTATACTCAAGGTTGTTTATAATATTTTGTCCACCTCATACACCTAAATGGACAAACTAGAGTTGGTCACTCAGCATATGTTCCTGTTTAAAAACACTGCTACAACAGACGCCTGGACAGACAGCTCCCAGACTAATTTGGGTTTCAAAAGGATTTTACAAAAATCTTGCGGATCCCTCAGAGGTAAAGCCGGTGTAAGAGAAGCACGACAGCTGTTGATATTTGAGCAATAGCACCAGCAATTCCTCACGTAACAAAATGAAGCCTTGACTGATGCCCATGCGCATCAGTTTCTTGCCTTTCCTACCTGGTATGAGGACCAGAGATGATTAATGACAGCAAAGAACTTAGATGAGTTTATCATGCTTAGCTTGTGTTACAAGAACGGGAACTGGGTTACTTTGGACTCCACCTTTTGGCCATTGATTAAAAATGTAACAGTCCAATCCATCAACCACTGGAATGATGTATATGTAAACAACGGCATCGTGGCACAAACTGTTGATATGATAGAATATCGTTTATACGGGAACTAACCCTGACACGGACCTGAGTGATGCTGGGTTTCGGATTCGAACGTATTTCAGCACTCACCCTCCCTCTAATCCTCTCGTGTCTACAGAAATCCTCAGGGAACACAAAACCATACTGTACTGTCAACAAACACTACGGTTATGAGTCAGTTTCTGTGTATGCAACTTATGCTGATGTTACAACATCTGAGCCGACAGCTGGCAAAAGCTGAGCGCCAAAGTTCCATTCTGCAGTTTCTGACTGAGAAATTGATGGACAGCAACTTCAGACACATGATCCACAAGGCTCAGAACACACTGCTGTACATAAGGATGTCATTCATTTATCACTGATCACTCAATTCTAATCATGTTTTGAGCATTCAAACTTTAAAAAAATAAGACGTAAAAAGGACAATTCATTGATTTAAGATGAAACATGAGTCATATTTGGTATGTCAGTTTTTCTTTAAATAGTGTGACTATGACCTATCATGAAAACAATGTAAAAACACTGGTTTGTGTGACAAACATAAGTACGTCTAAGTGATAAGCAAACACCAGCCACACACAAAGACCATGAGATACAGTTAAAAACTTCACAAAAGTCTGATCGAATGGACCTTCAGTTGAGTGTATCTTGTCAAATATTTTACATTTTATTTATTTTCCTCTTACTCACCAGACGATTCCCTGTGCTCCGGATCCGATGGGTCTGAGGTTCTGGTAGCGCTTTAAAACCATAAAAGTTGAATCGCCCACATCTATACTGTAGTACTCCTTTTCACGCTTGTTCCGGTTCATGGTGAAGCCTTGGACAAACGCTGTGACTGGGCATCCAAGTGGAGCTCTCCTCTCAAGACCTGCAGTGCGTAAAGAGAAAGAAAGCTTGTCATTTTTTTTTCTTGTTCTTGTTCTTCCTTCCAGCAGCCGAAACATTCACACTGAACCACTACTTGTCAATGGAGGACAATATCTTTCATTGTTTATTTTATCAAGCATTATATAAGGTTACTTTTTTCCAAATGAATCACTGTATTTTGGAACAAATGTTGATGGCAGTGTCAAACTTAGCAGAGTCTCCACCGCAGGAACTTTCCCTCTGGGACTAGGAACCTTTGGAGGAACTCTTTGTTTCCACCACAGGGACCACGGTCTAAATTAGGGGACATAATTTACCCCCCCTGATCAGGGGGTAGTACTTTATTATGTATTACTTTATTTCAGCCACCATATTTAAAACCAGCCGCAAACCAGTTTGTTTTTTGTTAATTGTGACGTTAATTGACACATCAATATGGAGTTAAGGGAAAAAAAGGCATACGACCAATGAACTGACTTGTTGTTCAACGCTTTTGTATAGTTGAGCACAAAGACCTTCTCACAAGTCAGTGAACTAATTTGCCGAGTCTCCATGGAAACGCACAGGCTGGGAAGAAAAGTTCCAGGTACTTTGGGTGGAAACATTTAACATGGTGGGCAAACAGGAGGTACCAGCATCAAAGCCACTGTTTAGGCCAACAGCCAATGAGACTTTGAGGAGCTGCTAATGAATTACTGTAGACGCTGCAGGCCGCCTGGCTCGGAATCAGCCTGTTGCCTCACCACTTCACTCTGTTAATGTAATTAAACACTACTAGGGTTGGGATTATGCGGGTTTTATTTATTCTCTAAAGAACTGTTGAGTCACCAGCAGTGATCGACCCCACTGATGGCAGATATGTTCGTGTGCAGTGGGGCCGTGTGACTCTTACTGCCCCTTCAGCCTAAGAAAAAAAAAAAAAAAAAAACCTTGATTCAACCGTGAAAATAATTCTTTGATATGAGAAGCTCAAAGCAGCCATGCTTCCAATCCTCAAGTGAGGTTCATCAATTATAATGACTCCTATAGAAAACCCAAAAGGTCTGGGCGATGGAGTGACGATGCATGCAGAGAGACAGAGAGGGAGCAGGAAGCTGGGTTTCATGCTGGCTCTGGAGACGACCAATCATTAGTGGAATTTGGAGCATCGAGCTGAGGAGGTCGGCGTTGTGATGATAGCTGTACGTTTCACGGACCACGACCTGACCTCTGGATTTCTCCGACTCCTGACACCACCCCCCACCTTCCTTCCTTCCTTTCCGTCTCCTTGCGCTCCTCTTCCTATTCTAGGGCGGGCGGTTCTTCAAACCGACGCTCTTTTCTTCCACTGTGCTTTCTTTTCTATTGGCAGGGCGGCAGTCAGCACCACCTGAGTTAAATCCAGCTCAAAGCGGAGATGTGGCTGAGTCGGGTTCAGACCAGAAGAGAGCAGAAACCAAGTCAGGACCAAGGCAATTCAAACCCTATCTAAAGATCGATTAGCAGATCAGTGGCTTGCTCTGTAATGAGACACACAAATGAATGAGAAGACATATCTTAGAAGTTTTCGTAGATACACAGGAAGTCAAATCAAATTCTAAAAGTGGCTGAAATCAGGATCAATACGCCACCAAAGTCATCTTTGCATTCAACTCTGAGCTCGTCTTCCCTCTGCGCCTCCTCCTCTCCTCCACTTGTTTTATCCTTTCCGCTTCTCCTCATCTCTGTCTCCTCTCCTCCTTGCCTTGTTCTCCCCGACTCTGATCCTAACATCATCTTCTCTCTGCCGTCTGCAGCTGAGCCACACTCTGCAGAGGTGAAGGGAAGGCTCACAAAAGAGTCTGAACTCCTCTTAAAGCAACAGACATAGTGGCAAATGTCTGGCAAAAAGGCTCGACTCCGGCAAACACACGGCGTAATCAAAAGCTTCTTAAACAAACACATTCACTCACTCGGATCTGTGTCTCGGATTTGTGTCTTTGCCAAAGACGACCTATACAAATACTCCCGCCTAACCACCTCATGTGTCACCTGCACTCCATTTAGCCAGGTTTCACCATCCCAACCACTACATAACAAACATTACACTAGCACAACCGCATGGATGGAACAGTGCCACGTCACTGTAGTAAACGGACTGGTTTAACATGTGTCAAACATACTTTCTTAAATCTGGAGAACAAGATTTGTAGGCCAGGGCATTTCTGTAGCACTCCAGTATTTCATTATAATGCTGTTTGTCACACATTTTACCTTTATCAAAAGATTATTCTTCTGCAATTTCAATAACATTGCGATTAAAGGTGCAGCTCTAGGAAGTTCTCTGTAATGTGTGAATGCGGAGTGCAACAGTGGATCTTTTTAGGCAGAATTTAGACCAAACGTGTCATAACTTCTTAACTGTAGCAAAGGCGAGAATTATTTGCACATTATGATTGCTATAACAACCTTGTTATATAATGTTCTCATGTTCCTATATTCTAATATCATTCACTGTGATCTTGCATAACAAAGTTACGGTGCCACGTCCAATCTAATGAACTCTTCCTGCTTTATCTGTACCCACACCTCACAGGACATGATTCCAACCCTGTTTTTGTTGACCAACCCAGCAGTAAAAAAACGTCATCCTCATTTGCCAGCAGCATCTGGCTGCAAAGGGACCAGAAAGAACATATAAACCACTTCCAACATGCTTTTCAGAAAATGCCATTCGGTAAAGCAAATATAGGCCACATGAGAGAGAGAGCGTGTGTGCTCCTGCCATGTTCTACCAGCGGCAGGTAGGCCTATTGAAAGGTTGCAGGATGCGTCTAAGCTGATGTTCGGCTCCGTGATTTCCTCTCCCGTTTGAAGGCGGAACAGCACACGTCAGGGTCACTGCGAGAGCGGAGCATCTGTGGCTGCGTGTGAAAATGGGGCTGAACGATATGACAGTGTGTGTCAGGCTGTGTCAACCCCATTCAACTGTTAGGAGGTGGAGGATTCTAAATGTGTGACACCCCCCCCAAATTACACAATGCTATACAGCCGGGGCTGCACACAGATAAATGAATGATCAAGTGGGTTCTATTTTATACATGGATACAACAAAACAAAAGACAGGTGTACGACTACATTAACCTGACCACAGGACGTCAACCTTTATGGGTCGACGGTCATTCAAACGACAGATAACTGTGTCACATATGGCCTTTGTACAGGTGAACACGCGTTCGCCTCGGCAACTCCTGTCCAGATTTGCCCCCGTCTTTCCCTCGAAGCTGTCCGTCACACCGTCTCACCTGGGAATTGATCTGTCTCTCATTGGCTGTTGCAGGTCTGTTCTGGTTCCCTTTACCGTTCAGATTCAAGGCTGGAGTTATCTGGGGGACCGAGATTGAGCCCGCCAGTAATTTGGGAGAGTTGGATTTTATCTCTGAGCTGCTCACATTCAGCCAAAGTAACGGCTGCTGATAAGAGCTCATACGGGCACATTCTGTGCCAAACACTGGTACCAAAAAAAAAAAAAAAGCACCACATTTCTCTCTGGTTGTCTGGAGGGATGGTTTGGTGGTATTTAAACTCAGACTTTGTACAATCCAACCTTAGCTAATGTCTTAATCGTAAAATGTTATATTTTAAGTTATCTAACAAACTGCCAACGTCTTACAAAAAAAAAAATCGATGCTAGTTCAACGCAGAAGGAAGAAAACTGAAAAAACTACATTAAACATGCAATCCGCATGTAAGGAGCAGAAACAAAGCTACACAAGGTAACAACACATTTGTGGCGGGGTAATACTTTGGCTACTTAAAGCCCCATTTGGCCCCGCGGCGGATGAGGCAGTCCTGAATGATTAGGCTTCTTAAAGTCCGACAGCAGACACACGAGTGATGCAACTGTTACACTCGTCTTGCCTAAGCCAAAAATCCACGCCGACGAAGACGACACATACCGCAATCCAATTTTACCACCTTAATCAACATCATCCAATAAACCATGCAGAGTTAAAGCGCACAGTCTCAAACTCCAGCAGATACACCCGTCCCCTGGAGCGCGCCCTCAGAGGAACACCCCCACTACAAACAGTCGCATTAATATGTCCACCCCGTTAATAAACACCTCACACACGCCGTTTCATTTCAGTGGGCATGGTGCCAAAGCGCAAACACGACGGAACATTTAAATTTAACTGAAGCCCCTAACTGACACCAGCTGTGAATGTTATACATGCTGTTATCTATCTATCTATCTATCTATTATTTTTGTACAATTTATTGATTCAAAAACATTGTTTGTCACTTTTCAGGTTCTGAATCTACTACCAGGGATTTTTAAACGGACAGACCCAGGGTGTAGGATTTAGCGGCATCTAGCGGTGTAGTTGCAGATTACAACGCCCTCGCCTCTCCCTCCCGTTCAAAGTCACAAAAAAAGTGGGCTACTGTTGAAAACATGGCAGTTCAACATGGCGGCCTGTGCTCCCTCTGTAGATAAAGACGGCTCTTTCTACAGGTAACAAAAACACAACTATTCTTATTTTACAACAGGTACAGTGACTGAATCCATACTGTGATATGTATGAAAATGATGGACTGATATGGAAACAAATCATCAGGATAAAACGTTGCCATATCGCCCAGCAGTACACTTTTAAAAAAAAAACATCATACATACTGTAACAGCCTATAAATAACCAACAAACTGTAGAACTCTTCTTTGCAGCTACTGTAGGTGAAAAAAAACACACACAAATGAATGAACATTTCATGAACATCTTGCAGAAAAGAATCTGAACAAATGTGTGCAGAGACACGAGACAGTGGTGATCCTGTCTCAAGGAAACTGTCTTTGCCTTCAACCGCGACTGTTCAAACTGTCACACGCTGTCGTTTCACTGGTGACGCAGCCGGTCCGGGCCGCAAGGTTACAGCACAAGAACCAGCACTCCACCTAACAAAGAAAACTACGGCATTCACCTGCGTGTACCATAAACTGCCCCGTCAACTGGGTTTGGACGCTGTCCATTCAGTTTGAGCTGAGGACTCAGCAGTCAACCGTGACTGTGGCTAAACCACTGAGAACATTTAAATGATCTCCGAGTCACAATCTGTGGCTATCAACCAATGGGTCCTCCAGATATGAATGCGAGCTTACCGTGCGTTAGCCAGGACTCATAGTCTAACCTCTGCAGGCTACATTTCACTTTTGGTGCAGGAATCAGATTTCTTGGTGCTTTTGGCCGACCACTGCTGTTCTCTTGGCAGGTTGTCTCGAAAACCTCGCTAGCGATGTGCAATGCAGTTTTGGGAGCTGCATCCCCCCCAGAACATGACTTCAGGAACACGTTAGACAGACGGCATAACCAGGGATGCACGCACAAGCCCTAACGCACCTTTGATCAGACACTTCGAGTAATGTGACGGATTAGAAAACTTCCCATTTGATCCACTGGCCTGATAAGCTATCTTTACTTTATTGTAAAGACAGAAGCTGATAAATGTCCATCTGATTGCTCTAACACAGATAAACCAAGCTGCAACATTATGCAGCTGCCAGGGAATAATACTCACAGTCACCTTTTGAATTTAAGGCCATTTACACGTCACAAAAATCACATAAAAACACATAACCAGCCAGACTGCAGCCTTGCATGTAGCCAAATATTGATATCCCATCTGCTCAGTGTTGTTGTTGAATGCACTGACAAGCTGCTACAGTAGAATACCCAGGGTAAAGCCACCTATGCTCAGCTTACAGTGCAGGCATTTAGTTTGCCTAACAGAAATATGCATGAGATCATATCACAGCGGCGAATATCAGCGACCTGATGTTAGCTAAAGCGGGGTGTATTCAACGGCGTCAAGTCATTTCTGTTGACATGGAAGACGTTAGCGTCTTTAGGTGACCACAGACTGGAGGTCACGGCGTTTTTTGTTTTTTTTTTTACTCCAACCTTTCACTTGTTCTATGACTGGCGACACCACCCGGTCCACGGTTTGCAGTGTGTGCGGTGCTAATGTGTGTGTAGCACTGACAGGGATAGGTTACAGTAGTTCCCAGTGTAGCCACTCAGTCTGGCTGCCTGTTACCAGTTAGGCCAGACCTGTCCTGCCTGCTGTGGTGGTCACTGTGTATGCTGTAGTAACACCTATTTACAGTAACGTGTGGGTCCCAACATTAGTCTGCCCCCCGCCAATGGTTCACAATAACAAGTCAAACATGTCTCATAGGTAGAACAAATATCCATATGTCGAGCTCACCCTCTCCGGTTAATTCCAACAGTGTCGACCCGCAGTCTCCGTTTGCTGCCCGCTGGAGAGACACAACCCCGGACGTTTTTTTGTTGTTTTTTTTTTTTTTTTTTTTTTTTTTTTTTCAGAGAAAAAACAGCTCTGTAATCCCTTTTTTCCTCCGGATACGCTCCCGTTTCCCTCACACTAGCAGGCCAGGATCATTGCAAAAGACATGTGTAGCTTCAACGCAACCTAATCTTTGTGCTTCCGCGACACAAGCAGTTTCTGCCATTTCATACCAACGTCGTCGAAACCTTGCGATGTTTCCTCGGCTGCACAATGAGCACCGGGGCACGTTCAAGACCGCCTGCGCGTTCCCGGCAGCCGCTCCGGGAAAGCGGAAGCGACGTTGTCGCAACGTTTCGAAATGGACGCTGCATACAGCTTGGAAAAGTAAACATATAGGTTATTTTCCAAAAACAATCTGATATATAACATACAATACATAGCCATATTATCATAAAAACCCCCTAAACGATTTTTTTTTTTAGTAAACCATTTTTGCAACTGGGGTAGCATTAAAGATGTAGCTTATTTGTTTCTATTTCCTGTTAAAAGTGAGGCACTACCTAACACATTTCACATTTGTATACTGATTTTAATAAGTTATTGGCTAAAGTGGCCTACACCTTAGAAAAATAGAATACAAAATAGAAATGTAAGTGAAAAATCAGTGCCCAGTTTTAGTTTAGTTTACATGGACACTCACTTGCCAGATTTAAACATTACTGTTGGCCAAAATGCAGTTTAATACAACAATCGGGCAGTAAATTCTACCTCCATGAAGGTTTTAAACATTCAGGTCTTGTTGAAACGGTTTCAGAGAGGTGTTGATTCAACTTTATGGACATTTTAGAGGCTCTTGTTTGAAATGCGGCTGAATTGTGTTGCAGAGTTGAGAGGTGTTTCTAATATTTGGTCTACCCTGATTGATATACATGGGGTGGACAACACATGAGAAAACGTCTCACAGTATAATGCGGCATAGTTCAACAGCACAATAATTTTAGTTGCCAAAATGACCATAAAATTGAATCAGCACCTCACTATTTATTGCAGGGCTATTATATTAGACTGCGATAGTTTTACCTAATAAACTGGAAACTGAGTGTAGGTTAGCAACATTTTTGCACTGCAATGTCAGCTACAATAATCAACAAGGGTTGCCATATTTCAAACACAATGATCAGCACAGATACTGTTCGTAAAGGAGCACCAAACATGAAAACTGTTAGTGAAATTAGCCAACTTTATTCATGTCAGAAGACATGAATGTACACATAAATCAAAACAGTCCGTGCCGGCCTTTATTCATGATTATCTTTCACGTAAAGCATCTGGACTACTTAAAATATATCATATTTGTTAATATTGTGATTTAACTTTAAATGTAAGGCTACTTAATTTTCACAGTGGTGGAGGGTAACTAGGCACATTCACTCATTACAATTAGGCAATAGAGGTACTTGAAGATTTCTATTTTATAGTACTTTATACTGTATTCTGCGGCACTACATTTATCTGACAGCTATAGTTACTTTCCTAGATTAAGATTTTACTTTAAAAAAAACATTTGAAAAGCCTATCGAATGCGTTGTTAAAGAACGCCAGACTTTTACTTCAAACTTTGATCAGTCATGTAATCATCGCTGTCCTGCTGATAGTTTTGTGTTTATGAGAATTCAGCAACCACAGAAGCATACCAGAGTTTGCGTGTTTAACTATTATCACAGGTGTCAAATTTGACCCTTAAGAAAGCTTATGTCAGTGTCAGGCGGTCACACGAAGCCATCACCTTGACATGTCTTCCACGGGTCAGTGTGTTAATTATGGTGCTTCATTCCTTTGGCTGCAAAGGGCAGAGACATAGACCCTGACTTAGTTACAAGTCCTCTCTGATAATGTGGCTGAGGATGAAGTGGTGGCATATTCTGTGTAATGAGTGTGTGGACAAGAATACACATTTAAATTGCAAATAATTAGCACATAGTTTACACACTACACAGTAAAAAAAAAAAAAGCAGGAACAGCACCCCTTAAGACCGTCATACTGTAATATTTGAGGACTCTTAGACCACTCCATTACATTTCAAGGGTCAAAGGTCACTTTTTCATCTCTCTGACAATTGTACTTGTTATTTTGCATATTTTTTCAAATTTTACATAGACGTATGACCTAGTTGTACTCACCTTTTTGACCTATATGTTACAGTAGTGCTCGGTCACATTTACATGGTTATTTTATTTGTCATTTTACAACACATTGTTGTATAATAAAATACAAAAAAATAAATACACAAACTATATACAGTAAATAGTGATAAACGAGTCCTAAAATATGTAATATATTTTAATTTAATATGGTATTTTTTAATTTTACTTTGATCAAATATTTTTGTATTTCTCATCATGTTTTTTCTCACCTTAATGAAGTAACATTCTGAATGCTTTTTCAAGCAGCAGGCCAAGTGGAAGGATGTATAACCTAATAAAAACCTGTATGTTCCATGACATCTGGTTACTCACCAAGGCCATGTGCACTGGCCAATCAACTGTGTGTCAGTCTATGTAATCTCATAAACTAATAGAAAGTGGGACAATTAATGTGTCACTTGTGGTTGAAACATCAGATTAACACAGTGCCGCCTGCAATGGATTGGTCCTTTGCTGCCCCATCTGCCGTTAGCTTGCCCTGCAAATCCAATTATGTTCTTATGCTCCCTAGTCTAAAAATAGTTGAAAATGAGGGAAAACGCAGAAACAAGACGTCATTAGTTGTGAGCGCAGAGCAAATTATGTTATGGAGTTGATGGGTCCTTTCTGTGGAGACAATTGAGTTGTCATGAGGAGATGAGGGTGTGCAGCGCTCGGACGAGGGAGAGGTGGGTGGAATGGCAGCAGGGGATGCATAACAGGAAGAAGGATTAGGTTCAGAGTGGTGGATGTCTGAAGGAACTTAAGAAGAATCTTTTCAGATACCGGATGAAATAAGGTAGGCCACATAATGTGTCAAAACCAGGTTATAATGGTTTTAGTCTCAATGTTAGTCAGAAACCACCTGTAGGCCTGTGTGTCGCTGTCTGGATCATGAGCTACAGGATTCTTTATATATGCTGCTGCTGTAACAACACCATTGCCTGGGATCAACAATGTTTAAAGGTGAATAAGACTGAAGGTGCCCCTGTGCAAAGCGACAAACCGTTTACTCCAACTCACACTGAGGAAGTTGGAAGTAGGATGTTGCTGAAAAGGAGCCTGTGTGCTCCAGCAGGTTCCTCTGGATAAATCAGTTTGTATAATGTCAAAGGCTGTTTCATTAGCACGTTTTTAGTTACTCAGTTTTCATTATTATCAAATTAACTGTTATACTTGTATTTCCATGAACATATGTGATTTAAAAAAAACATTAAAATAATGATAATGATGTCCCTGTAGAAAAAATCAATTGTAAATAATTAAATTAATGACCAAATTCCATTTAGCTGCTTCAGTTTCAGGGTCCTGGTATTACACATGCTGGCTCACTGCACTGCACTGACTTACTGGGACGCTTAAACAGAACAAAGCAACCTGAGCTTTTCCTGCTATGACAAGTCAAAATGTCCGCTGTGAAAAAAGGCCTGTGCTGATTGTTGCGGCCACCGTGTGAACCTCTGCTCAGGTTACCTTGGTTGAAATGAATCAGAGTACACATAACCTGATTAACAGACCTGCGTAACGTGGAAATCTATCATGTCACCTGACATGTAAGCATGTAAGCATGTCTGCTTTCTGTCACTGTTTTAATTCTGTTTGTGTGTCAGAAAGGTCACAGAGTGAAATGGATGCAAAGTGCTGCACAAATGCCTCCAGCAGCAGTTAGAATGCATTCAATTCAATCAAAATAATCAAAGTCAACTAAAGACGTAAAGTCATCAAGGCGGAAAACAATTAACAATGTCCTCGAATGATTTAATATGAGACGGAATAAGATGATTATAATAAGATGCTTCCTGGAAGCTACCACACAAACATCCGGTCGTTAATCTCATTGTCAAACAAATAATGAAAAACTCAAGTTACTGAGAACCATGTTAATACCCCAGAGTGTTACGTTAATCTGGTTATTCACTGTAGCCATTATCTCATGCCAGTGGCGTTGTTAGTGGTAACTAATTAATACCACAATGGCAAAAATATCTCCAGTCAAAAGTTTTCTCGAGAGATGTGTCGGGTCTACATTTTGTCCACCATCTTCCATCCACCTTTATGGAAGAGTTAGCTCAGTTTGCTCTTTTTCCTGTTTTGTGCAATAGTGCGACCCTACACGTAATGTCACCATTACTGCGGTACAGCCTGCAGACTCTACGTGCTCCTGACCTACCAAGTTAAGGTGCAACCTAGCTTTTTAAAAAAATGTCCTCTATTTTAATGAGTACTTGCAGAGAATTACAAGGATCAGCGAGGTGCTACGATGTCCTCACATACAGCATTCATTTATGTGCCCCCTCCCCCCTGGCAATGGGCTCAAGAGAAAGTGGAGGAAAAAACCTTGTTTTACAATGTAACAATATAAAAAGAAAAACTCGTAATGACTGTTGATTTATAGGATCAGCAAATAAAACATTTAGCTATCATCTAAATGGTACTATCTTGTATTTAGTTTTACACAGAAGCTATGTAGTCCCATTTAACTGGACCTAAAGCTTTCTAGTGGAATAACTGAGTGGGATGTCATTATTGCGGTTATGTATGTGGTATATGCCCTAATATTAATATTTGGTTATGTTAGCTTCTCTTAATAAATCCTACATAAGATTCATAACAACCTTACCTACAGTTTAAATTATAGGCTAAGCAGATAGAAATAAGGGGTTGTTTCCTTGTTCAATGACTGATGTCACAGTGCCCTCCAAACTGATTTATGTAGTATCTAAGAGTACAGATAAAAAATACTATAGTAAGATATTGAATGGTAACTATAAGAACATGTTTTTTCCCCTCAGTTGTTCTCTTCTAATTCATAAGATGAAATGCCTAATGCGTATGCTTTGTGCTTGTTCTCACCTTAGTAAGATAAGATAAGATAAGATATTCCTTTATTTGTCCCACAATCGGGAAATTCCGAATAGTAATTTGTTGTCCGAAAAGTAATGTGTTGTCATTAGTATACCGGATATTTTCAGTTACCAGAAGCTTCTCAAGGTAATTTACCATTTCAGAAATCCTCCGACGTAAGCACATAAGTGCTTTAAAACTGCTCAACACCAGGCTCAAATGTACAGACTGAAATGGTACAAGCTGATACAGTATATGGAAAAAATCCAATTCAACAAACAAAAACATACAAATGTATTGTGTTTTATTTTTCTCAAGCTTTATCAAACTAAAACTGCAGCTTTGGGGGTTTGTCATTAAGCTGTTGAGAGTTTTTATGTGATGTGATCAGTGGAGACTACTTTATTTTGATAGTAAAAGTATGCAAGCAATTAACAGACGTGTTGGATTTGTGTTTTCAATTAGATCTAATTCCACTAAACCCTGTGCTTGTCCGTCTCAAACTCCGACCTCTAACCTCTGAACGTTCACTGTTTGTGACGTACTTCTAGGTGGGATTCTAGTCCGTGAGGTCATTCATCCTGTTTGTTCCCACTTGCCACAACTCCTGTACTTTACCACATTAGGTTGTTTTTGCATCAAAAATTACGCCTGAACTTCTAAGATCAGGAGCTTCATTCTGGAGCTGCCATTATGTAGTATTTTCTCTCCTCCTGCATTTCTAGTTTATTATTTCTATGCTAAAAAAGTTAGATTACATATGTCTTCCAACTAGTGTTTTTTCTAGAAAACCTTGCCTAAAAGCAAATATTTATTCTAACATTCTACATGTTAAGCATGTTAAGACATATATACAAATAGTCTGCTTGGGACCATAATGAGTGTTAGATTTTTTCCGCAAAAAAGTATAATTTCCACGTTAAAATCTACCTCATTAATAATTACAGAATCTATGAATATGCAAAATGTGTTCATTTCTTAAGCTGTCTCCTACTTCACTGTAAAGTCTGTTCTCATTGTTTGTGCTCTGGTGGCTTCAGGTTTCTATATCACACTTGTATAAGTTGCATACTAAACCAGGTTTGACTTTTAGACTATTTATGATGTCACAAATCATGCTCGTAGGCCCCGCCCATTAAAATCAGATTTTTCAGTGAGCACAGAGAAACT